ACCATGCTGGTAAACCAACATCATTAATGATACCTTGCTGGTAAACCAACATCATTAAAGATACCTTGCTGGTAGACTAACATCATTAATGATAACTTGCTGGTAGACCAACATCATTAAAGATACCTTGCTGGTAGACTAACATCATTAATGATACCTTGCTGGTAGACCAACATCATTAATGATACCTTGCTGGTAGACCAACATCATTAATGAGACCTTGCTGGTAGACCAACATCATTAATGAGACCTTGCTGGTTGACCAACATCACCAGCAAGACCATGCTGGTAAACCAACATCATTAATGATACCTTGCTGGTAAACCAACATCATTAATGAGACCTTGCTGGTAGACTAACATCATTAATGAGACCTTGCTGGTAGACCAACATCATTAATGAGACCTTGCTGGTAGACCAACATCATTAATGAGACCTTGCTGGTAAACCAGCATCATTAATGAGACCTTGCTGGTAGACCAACATCATTAATGAGACCTTGCTGGTAGACCAACATCATTAATGATACCTTGCTGGTAGACCAACATCATTATTGAGACCTTGCTGGTAGACCAACATCATTAATGAGACCTTGCTGGTAGACCAACATCATTAATGAGACCTTGCTGGTAGACCAACATCATTAATGAGACCTTGCTGGTAGACCAACATCATTAATGAGACCTTGCTGGTAGACCAACATCATTAATGAGACCTTGCTGGTAGACCAACATCATTAATGATACCTTGCTGGTAGACCAACATCATTAATGAGACCTTGCTGGTAGACCAACATCATTAATGATACCTTGCTGGTAGACCAACATCATTAATGATACTTTGCTGGTAGACCAACATCATTAATGAGACCTTGCTGGTAGACCAACATCATTAATGAGACCTTGCTGGTTGACCAACATCACCAGCAAGACCATGCTGGTAAACCAACATCATTAATGATACCTTGCTGGTAAACCAACATCATTAATGAGACCTAGCTGGTAGACCAACATCATTAATGAGACCTAGCTGGTAGACCAACATCATTAATGATACCTTGCTGGTAGACCAACATCATTATTGAGACCTTGCTGGTAGACCAACCTCATTAATGATACCTTGCTGGTAGACCAACATCATTCATGAGACCTAGCTGGTAGACCAACATCATTAATGAGACCATGCTGGTAGACCAACATCATTAATGAGACCTTGCTGGTAGACCAACATCATTAATGAGACCTTGCTGGTAGACCAACATCATTAATGAGACCTTGCTGGTAGACCAACATCATTAATGAGACCTTGCTGGTAAACCAACATCATTAATGATACCTTGCTGGTAAACCAACATCATTAATGAGACCTTGCTGGTAGACCAACATCATTAATGAGACCATGCTGGTAGACCAACATAATTAATGAGACCTTGCTGGTAGACCAACATCATTAATGAGACCATGCTGGTAGACCAACATCATTAATGAGACCTTGCTGGTAGACCAACATCATTAATGAGACCTTGCTGGTAGACCAACATCATTAATGAGACCTTGCTGGTAGACCAACATCATTAATGAGACCTTGCTGGTAAACCAGCATCACCAGCAAGACCATGCTGGTAGACCAACATCATTAATGATACCTTGCTGGTAAACCAACATCATTAATGATACCTTGCTGGTAAACCAACATCATTAATGATACCTTGCTGGTAGACCAACATCATTAATGAGACCTTGCTGGTAGACCAACATCATTAATGAGACCTTGCTGGTAGACCAACATCATTAATGAGACCTTGCTGGTAGACCAACATCATTCATGATACCTTGCTGGTAGACCAACATCATTAATGAGACCTTGCTGGTAGACCAACATCATTAATGATACCTTGCTGGTAGACCAACATCATTAATGATACCTTGCTGGTAGACCAACATCATTAATGAGACCTTGCTGGTAGACCAACATCATTAATGAGACCTTGCTGGTTGACCAACATCACCAGCAAGACCATGCTGGTAAACCAACATCATTAATGATACCTTGCTGGTAAACCAACATCATTAATGAGACCTTGCTGGTAGACCAACATCATTAATGAGACCTAGCTGGTAGACCAACATCATTAATGAGACCATGCTGGTAGACCAACATCATTAATGAGACCTTGCTGGTAGACCAACATCATTAATGAGACCTTGCTGGTAGACCAACATCATTAATGAGACCTTGCTGGTAAACCAACATCATTAATGAGACCTTGCTGGTAAACCAACATCATTAATGATACCTTGCTGGTAAACCAACATCATTAACGAGACCTTGCTGGTAGACCAACATCATTAATGAGACCATGCTGGTAGACCAACATCATTAATGAGACCTTGCTGGTAGACCAACATCATTAATGAGACCATGCTGGTAGACCAACATCATTAATGAGACCTTGCTGGTAGACCAACATCATTAATGAGACCTTGCTGGTAGACCAACATCATTAATGAGACCTTGCTGGTAGACCAACATCATTAATGAGACCTTGCTGGTAAACCAGCATCACCAGCAAGACCATGCTGGTAGACCAACATCATTAATGATACCTTGCTGGTAAACCAACATCATTAATGATACCTTGCTGGTAAACCAACATCATTAATGATACCTTGCTGGTAGACCAACATCATTAATGAGACCTTGCTGGTAGACCAGCATCACCAGCAAGACCATGCTGGTAGACCAACATCATTAATGATACCTTGCTGGTAGACCAACATCATTAATGATACCATGCTGGTAGACCAACATCATTAATGATACCTTGCTGGTAGACCAACATCATTAATGAGACCTAGCTGGTAGACCAGCATCACCAGCAAGACCATGCTGGTAGACCACACTGTTAAAAAAAACTGTGAAATTTACGTTAAAATACCGGCAGCTGTGGTTGCCAGTATTTTACCGTAAAAAATATGGTGGCAACCTTTTATGTTTTACGAGACTTAAATTTAAGGGCAAAAAAAACACAATGTAAAGAAAACCTGTGAAGTTTACGGTAACGAAAGCTTGGATGCCAGTATTTTACCGTTAAAAATATTGTAGCAACCTTACTTTGGACTTAAATTTACAGCAAAAAATAAACAAAACATCAGCTGTGGTTCCCAGTAATTTACCATTAAAATACAGTGTTTCATTAGCCGACAAATATTATTATTATTTTTCACTGAAATATAAAATTCTGCTTTATATCTTTGCAATACTGATAACCACCTAAATAATACAGGCGGTAAAAAAAACACACAAAAAAAAACACATTATGATTTAAAGTTCACCATTAGTTTTCCACAAGCTGGGGACACATTAATTTGTATATAAGGTGCACAGTCTCATACACATAAATACAAAACACCATCATGGTGACACACAGGACTCCAAATAATGCCATAAACATTTATTAAACAATATATAATGTAATATAAACCCCAAATAACTGATAACAAAAACAAGTTAGAAACATAATTGTTTAAATGAAATAACATCAAATGTGAAGTGGCACGCAGGGAATTCTGGGAATGTCAATATAGAGACACAACAAGAACTACAACTGACTTCAGCCACAGCCTTAGATGAAATCAACTGAAGAAGAGAAAAGAAGACATTAAATCTGTGAAGATCTCATCAGAGGATTAAACAACTCCACAAACAGCATTACCAGCTTCACTTATTACCAACCAGACTGACTTTATTTCTGTCAGATTTTAACAGTGTATAAAGAATATTAAAATCCAGCAGGAAAAAGAATAACTGTTGCTTTTGTATTTGTATGAAATAAAGATGACCGAATAAATTGTGAATAATTTGTGTGTATTTAACAGCTGTGGTGGTTACGGCACATATCGGACTATCCTTCCATCTGGCATCCTTCCATACAGTAATCTGTTTCATTTCGGAAGGTGCGATGATGGGAATATGCACGTCATCAATGCATCCAGCCACATTGGAAATCCTTAAGGAAATTCTAATTATTAGGTCACTTTCAGAGGTCACAGAAAGGGATTTTATCAAATGAATGTCATTTATCAGATTAGCCTCATTTAAACCGAATTCTCTCCACTGTCCTGCAATCCGAAACTCCTCTTTGATGGATCTGATGGGATTGTGTCCAGGAAACAACACAAAAACTCTCAGAAAGAGCGTGAGAGCGAGGCACACTTTCCTTCCCGCTACAGCAGCCTTGCTAACGTGCTCTCTCCGATGTTATATAGAAAAATGTGCAATGAATGATACTGCACTGCAAAAAAATGGCATGTTTGTCTTGTTGTTGTCAAAATATCAAAAGATTCTTAAATCAAGATGCATTTACTAAAAGAAAAACTCTGGGTTTCCATAAGAAAACCTGCTCCCGACCAGGTTAGGTTCACTTCACAGAGCAAGTTACCATGGTAACTGACTCTGAGTATAAGTTACCTCTCTTTCAGAAACGGGCTTGACTTACTCTGCTTTCTCGGGTTTGACATACCTCCCATTCTGAAACGAAAAACCCAGAGTTTCCCTCATTTCAGGGTTAACATACTCAGAGTTTTCACGGTTAACCTCCTTTCTGAAACAGGCCCTTGTGCTGTTTGTTGTACTTTAGCAATGAATGATTATGATGCCAGTCGGAGGACTCGTCTATTTAACAGCTGTCACTGTCGTCCAATCAGCGTCCGCAAATCCCGGAACCTTTGGTGTACTGACAAACCAATCCGCTTCCCCCAACGCGTCACTACTAGAGCTGTCTGAACAGTCTGGCGGGAGAGAGCCCGGCTCGTGTTGTCAGTCAGTTTATGAACGGTGTTCGCGAAATAATATTTGTTTTTACATCTACACGGTACTCTAGATCATATCTTGCGTTCTTTTTTTCTTTTAATTTGGGAGGAGAGACAACATAGAATTCTCTATTCTCCTGCTTTAACAGTATCATTGGACTTTCACAAGATAAAATAGCTCGCAAGCTAACAAGTGAACCCAAGGATTCGAGCGTTTACTTTAAAACGTCTGTTGAGTATTTAAATTGGTTTTCGGTCTATTGAGTTGTTTTGGGGGTCAATTGTGACGATTTCCTTTTTACTACAGTAACGTTAGAGCAATGGCAAAAGTACAAGTGCTAAATGTAGCTGTCCTGGACAACCCAAGTCCATTTGGAAACCCGTTTCAATTCGAAATAACGTTTGAGTGCATGGAGGACCTTCCCGAGGGTGAGTGTTTAAGTTTAATTTGATTTTGATGCATTTTCTCGATGTCCTTTATTGGCTAGCTAGCTAACGCGCTAACTCCCCCTGATGACGTCATTCGGAATGGCGGGTGATTGAAGCGTGCGAGGAAGCTGCTGTAACTTATCCTTTATTCTTCTACTCATCTCAATAAAGACAAGCTCACCATCACTCTTCATCTGACCCTGCGTCTTGCCATGTCGATAGAAGAAAGCTGTGTGTACTACTTAGAAAAACACCGTGTTAGTGTGCGTGGATATAATTATGTTATGATAAACCTGTCTAAATAACTAAAATATCATATGCAAGAATGATCCAAATTAAATCCAGTCCAAATGTCAGTAGTTTGAAAAGAGCATGTTTTTTGGTTATTTTAATAAGTGCTCTTTTAATTCCAATAATGGCATCACACACTACCGGTCAAAAGTTAGAAATAATTACGATTTTTTTATAAACATTGATTTTTTTTTTGTCTATTATGTTCAAAAAGTCTGCATTTATTTGATGAAAAATCCAAAAAAATATTAATATTGTGAAAAATTATTGCAATTTAAAAGAACTATTTTATATTTTAAAATATTATTTAACCCTGTGATGCAAAGCTGAATTTTCAGTATCATTACTCCAGTCTTCAGTGTCACATGATCCTTCAGAAATCAGTCTAATATGAATATTTGCTGCTCAATAAATATTTCTGATTATTATCAATGTCGAAAACAGTTATGCTGCTTAATATTTTTGTGAAATACTTTTCTGATTTTTTTTTTCCAAGATTCTTTTGATGATTCGTTTAAAAGAACAGCATTTGCTTAAAATAGAAATCTTTTGTAACATTATAATTTTCTTTACTGTCATTTTTGAATGGTAGTGTATCATGGTTTCCACAAAAATGTAAAGCAGCAAAACTGATTTCTGAAGGATCATGTGATGCTGAAGACTGGAGGAATGGCTGCTGAAAATTCGGCTTTATAATCACAAAATATATTAAACTATTAGCTTCTTTTTGTCTGAATAGTTAATTAATTGAGCATTAACATGTAATTAATTGTGTTTCTGTGTTCTAGATCTCGAATGGAAGATTATTTACGTTGGCTCAGCAGAAAGTGAGGAGTATGATCAGACTCTTGACTCTGTCCTGGTTGGTCCAGTTCCTGCAGGCCGACACATGTTTGTTTTTCAGGTGAGTTGATAACATTGTCATTATGAGCCACAAATAATCTTTTAGAAGTTTAACAGCCATTTTTGTAAAACTCAATTTCATTTATTCGATTGCTTTGCATTATATTTAAATGTATTGTAGCAAAAATTTTCTTAACAAACACAAATTCTTAACAAAAAGCTCATACGTGCTGCGTAACACGATAATGAAAACCTCATTGGTTCTTGTGGAAACTCAAACGTGCTGCGTAACATCCAAAAATTAACCTCATTGGTAGGGTTGGGTACCAAAACATATATTACCGATATATACCGGACCGAATCAGAGCGCAGATTTCAGTGCCTCGTTTTGATGCCGCTTAAATGCCTGAGCTGTCGAGGTCTTTGAGTGAGTCAATAAACCGTTCATTAAACTAACAAGCTCAAAAACGGAGATTAATTCAAAGATAGATGTAATGAAACAAGGTGTTGAAATTATTTTAACTTTGAGCGCCGCTTTACAAGGCTCGGCTGAGAAGCAATTAGAGGTGTAACGGTTCACAAAATTCACAGTTCGGTTCGATACGACTGTGGTGTCACGGTTCGGTATGTTTTCGATACAGCAAAAAGAAAGAAATGCCAGAGAAATTTCCTTGATTTTTTTCTTTATTTATTAAAACTAACATCATATAAAGTATGATCTTTTTTACTTTGAACAGCTGGAGCTATACTTCACCTGTCTTCTTTGCAGCATATAAAACAAAAACAGCTCCTTATAAAAAATGAAATGTAATATTTTAGTAGTTATAAACAAAGAAAAATAACAATTTTGTTTTTATATGGAACTCAGTGTGCTTTTACTCCTTTTAAGTGTTTTTTTTTTTTTACTGAAATATTTAGTGTCCACTAAATGCTGTGGGGATAGTTTGTAGCGTGTCTGTATCTCCTTGTTTTCGTCTTGTTCCAGTTAATGACCCACTGGGGCAATGTCGGCGTAAATGACTTGTTTGAAGTATTCCTACTGGTGTAGCCTATTGTCATGTACAGGGCTCCACACTTTTGAAAATTTTAGGCGCGCAAGCAGAAAATTTAGGGGCACACCTTAAATCAACCTGCAGCGTAGTTACTCACATTTCTCCTCATTTTGACTTTATTACTGACAAATGCCTTGGTAATAAATAGACTTAACTTACAGAAATTACAACGTGCAGGTTTATTTTAAGTTTGCAAGGCTCCAGATTAACATTTGAGGGCAGCATTTTTATTCATAATGTCGAAATAAGTCAAAACAAAACGATTCATTTTAATTTTTTATTTTTAAATAAGTGTGAGTTTTCCTACATCTTGAAACTTTCAGTTTTATAAACAGGGGTATTTGTAGAAGGATGAACAAAAAATTTTTTGGTCATCACATTAAAAATAACATTTAAATATGATAATATTTGAGTTTTGAAGTGCTGGAAAAAGATGTGAGACGTACTTGAAAGCATATTACTATTCCTGCCAAACGTCCATGGTTACAGTTAGTGCTACAACGTTACACGTGAACATGAGCTTTCCGTTTACCATAACTGTTGTGTGCGTTGATGAATGTTTATTTGTGAATAAAAGCCTAAATTTAATTGTTTGATCATTTAAAATGTAGGGCTGTAGGCCTACTCAACCAAAGAAAATCTTGGTCGACTGAAGTCCTGAAATTTTCGACTAAAAATCGACTATAATGACGTTAGAAAAAAAACATTAAATTAATTAGCTGGTAGCCTTGTTGTCAGCCTAAATTAATTATAAATAAACATAAACTAGTAGGCTTGCAGTATATTAAATTGTTTTTGACCTAATTATTTTGCACTGAAATGAGTCTGACACTCGAGTCTGTCGGCTCTGACAGCGTTGCATCACGTGCACCTGTGCAATATCATAGCCTATGATTTCCGAAAATAGTACTATGTTGTCAACTAGTGATATCATCACAAGAACTGTTGAGGAATATGCAACATCATTTAGACAATTATTTTTGTCATATATGTTATAATAAGTTATAACTGTCAGACACTATCATTTCAGCCGCTCTGTGCATGTCCTCGCACCGAGCGAGGCTGAACATCAGCTTTGCGGCTGAGACACGAATAGACTATTAACTTAAAGCTTTTACTCTTAATAAACACAAAAGGCACGTCCACTTTAACAAAAAAAAAATATCTATTAAACAAACCAGATCAAGAGCAGAAACGAAGTAAAGTGCATAACTGAAAAATAAAGCATCTTAGGCTCAAAACTCACAAACAGTGGGCACAGCGCAATTGCGCATTAGGCTCCAAATAAAAAAGTTAGGTTATCACACTAAAACATTGAAATATGCTAATTCTGATATGTTCATAGCCTACTCAAAACAGCCTGGGCAAGCTAACGCAGACAAGTGAGCTTACCACTTTTAGATGATATGTCATGTTTGTCGTCGAGCTGTGGAAAACTGTTGCTTGCAAACTTTGCATTCGACCTTTTTCCCGTTATCAGTTTTAACAAAATGCTGCCACACTGTCAATTTCTTTGTTGTTCACATGTTAGAAGAGGACTGACTATTAAACCCTCTTACAATTAAATAAATAATATTCAGCATCAAACCTTCTATAGCCTACTTATCTTTCTCTCTTGGGTTGGGCTAATCCAAAAAAGGTGAAAACAAGGGGGGTGTTCTGAAGACATACTGTTACCTGTGAAACAAGGGTACTCTGAAAACACCCCCATTAGCAGTTAGTGCTTTCCACCTGATGAAATGAACGCAGCAAAAAAATCGACCAATCAGAATTTTGGTCGAACCAGAATGTATCGACCAATTAATCGACTAATCGACTGGGACAGTACAGCCCTATTAAAATGATCGACCCTTTTCAGAAGATTTTTACTAAACCACTCAATTAATATGGATTAGTTTTACAATATCTTTGATCTTTATGAAGTGTCAAAGTGGTAGTGGTGTGGACTGTCAATAGAGGGACATAAATATTTTAAAAGCGATTTTTATCTGTAAAAGGGCTTTAAATGTAGTCACGCAATGCTGACGGTGTTAACATTAACAATTTGAGAACAAAGTATAATTTGCACGGTTTTACGTGATATAAGTGATCGTTCGATTTAATCAGCGCGATTTACTGCAATGATTTTTTTCCCTTAGTTGGTCAGTAGAACAAATGTGGATGTTACTTACTTGTTCAGATGACATTTTCCGGTGAAAATTATTACCGTATTTTCCGCACTATAAGGCGCACTTAAAAGCCTTTAATTTTCTCAAAAAACGACAGTGCGCCTTATAATCCGGAGCGCCTTATATATGGATTAATTGGATCAATTGGTTAATAACGCTCTGCGTTATTAAATTCGCCCGCGAACTCGAGCTCGTGTCCATCTTATGCCCGCTCTTTCACACGGCCAGTTCAACCTCGTATAAATCAGGTTATGTGTGTAAGTCACGTGCCCGCTCACGAGCGCTCACTCTTACTAACAGACACACGAACAGACACACTGTCCCCGGCGCTGCTCGCGCGTCACAGAATGTTCATAAAGCGCTCCCCGTTCACAGTAACCGGGTTGTCTCATTCAAAACAGCCAGCTGTTGCTGTCAGCGAGCCGCCGCACATGAATACTCATATGAGTCAGGCTGCGAATGTAAGTTACGTGCCCGCCCCAGCGCGCTCATGCTTACTAATAAACGCCTCGCCTCCGGCGCCGCGCACTCGGACCCCCGGGTTCGGCTGGAGCGCTGGTGAGGGTGGAGGCCAGGGCTGTGCTTGAGCTCTGGTTCTCTGAGTCGGGCAGAGGGTGGACCTCGTTGGGGGTCCACGCCCAGAGCTCTGGTTCTCTGAGTCGGGCAGAGGGTGGACCTCGTTGGGGGTCCACGCCCAGAGCTCTGGTTCTCTGAGTCGGGCGGAGGGTGGACCGAGTTGGGGGTCCATGCCCAGAGCTCTGGTTCCCCGAGGCGGGCCGAGGCCGGAGACACTCGGCCCTAGGGAACCGGGGAAAAAAAATACCCGGCCAAAACCTAAGTCGATTGTGGGTTACCAGTGGCGCGGTTCTTTGGAGGCGCGGGTTGGCTGGGAAATAGTACCCGGGCTTAAGAGTGGGACCCCCGGGTTCGGCTGGTGCTCGGGTGAGGGTGGAGGCCAGGGCTGTGCGCTACATTCCCTTTAGCACATCTAGTGTATGCATAACGCAAACCCAGTCAAACGTTTGACTGCAGTATCTTATGCGCTTTATAATCCGGTGCGCCCTATATATGAAAAATGTTCTAAAATAGGTCATTCATTGAAGGTGCGCCTTATAGTGCGGAAAATACGGTATGTTGGTCATACTTCCAAAAAGAATAATCTGTGATTGTGAATGCCAGTATCGACACCGGCGCAGTGATTGACAGCTGCACACTCTCCTCAAACATTGTGTTCATCCGCGCTGTGCCGTGTGCCCGTGTCGAGGTACAACTCACGTAAAGTTGATAATTCAGCGAATGACTGCAATTGCAGATTTCAAACAGAGATGGCGACAAAGAGGAAAAACTGCGCACTGCAGCGTTAAATGGTTTATTCAAAGCAATAAAGTAACATGACTGTAAAAAAAAAAAAGTTTAAACTAACATTTATAAATAAAATTTTATTGCGTAAATTGCATGAACAATTATGAACGAAACTGCATCTTGCATAGTTTAATACAAAGAGCTGAAGCGCCAATTACAGAGTAGCTAGCTACTGTTTTTGCGTTTATAAACATGAGATGCAGCGAAATAGGGAAAAAAAAGTTGAACTACTTTTAAGTTTACATGGGTTTCTAAACATGCGGCCCTCTTGTGTGAGACGCGAGTGCAATAGTCAAAGATTTTTTTTGTACGGTTTTGACGTAGCCAAGATTTTCTCCCCATTAAGCTTCTCGAATTTTGTAATGTTTTGAATGAGCAGCGCAGCATCTAGTAGATTCAACTGGATAGGCTAACAAAAACATTAAAGGGGTAATATGACGGTTCTAAAAAGAACATTATTTTGTGCATTTGGTTTAATG